TTTCTCTCTCTCTCTCTCTCTCTCTCTCTCTCTCTCTCTCTCTCTCTCACGTGTGTGTGTGTGTGTGTGTGTGTGTGTGTGTGTGTGTGTGTGTGATAAGAAAAGGGCAATCAAGGGAGTGAGCATGACTGGAGCCAGTGGAGAGAAGCAAGAAGGCAGTTGGATCTCATGTCAGGCTCCCACGGATGGTGGGACAGGCCACAAAGGGCTATGGCAAAGCAGTCCCCTGTCAGCTGCTCGGTCTTTACTCTCAATCCCTAAGACATCAACCCTCACACTCTGTGGCTCCCTTAGTTGACCATTCAAGGCTGTGGCCATGACGATAGGCAGATGACTGCTCCTTTATAACATACAGTACATATTTAGACACAGAGCATAAAAATGCACTACCTCTGGCTGGTGCCACACTTGATCCTAGATGTTGGAGAGCAAATTCTGGAATATGACAGAGTCTATGGCCAGGGAGGATGGCCTACTATCCACAGACAACCCAAGACAAGCTCTTCAGGGAAAGCCCAGGCCAAGTCCACGCACACAGCCTCCACAGCTTCCCTCTATGACAATCAAGCCTCCAGGGTCCTGACCTCTGTGGATCTGCAAGCCTGAGTCTGATCTTAGAATGATTCTGCATGGTCTTCCTGTTAATTCTGGTGCTGTTTTCTCACCACAATCTTCTCAGATGCACCTTTACCTGCTCTCTCTCTCTCCTCTGAACCGTTTCTGAATCCTCCACTTCCTAACCATATCCACCAGGAGAGAACTTCTCTATCAGCCCCCTAACCTTATCCCAGGGCTTTGTCTGGACCTTGAACTCCACACACTTCAAAGGACTTCCTCCCTATTTTGGTGGGCTCACTCCAGAACTTGCTTCTCCATCTTGATCACGTGAATGGTAGGGAATTTTTAAAACTAGTATAACAGCGCTTAGGTTCTACCTCAGAGCACACAAATCAGAATCTTCACAATGGGAGCCAGGCAGTATAGTCTCATAAACCTTTTATGATCCCAAGGTGTAGCCACAATTAGGAATTCAAACCAGCTCCCATCAGAGAGTTGCTGCTGGTCCATGGACCACTGATTGAATAGTGGGGCTTCATAGGCAGTTAGATTTCAAAAGTGGGGAGACAAAGAGGCATCCCTAATTTTCTAGCCCCAAATAAATGCCTATTGTGGAGCCCCTGTGAGGTTGAGAAGATGTTTCTTGGGGAAAATCTCAATAAAAGACTCAGAGATTAGAAAGTCCCATAGCATAAAAATATTACAGGATCCATTCTGTTATGTGTGAAGTACTGAACAGAGTACTTAGTACATAACAAGGGCTCAATGCATGATACTTATGCTACATGGGTTAGCATATTCCATTATCACTCAAGGAACTCCACTCCAGTCCTCAAACCAAATGAGCATGAGCTGTCAACTTCCCAAACCCTGATCATGCCAGACACAGCCCCACAGATTCCACCTGGCCTTAAAGACTGCCAGCGTGTTACCCTCAGTTCCTTCATGCATTTGCTCTGTTTCCCAGGAGCTATACATACACTTCCTCGTGGCTGATAATGAGTGTTTGCTACAGACAGAGTCTGTCTGAGTGCTCAACCTGGTTTAACTTGCACCCTGAGAACAATCTAGACTGAATGAACTAGCAGCCCCAGTGGCTGACAAGGAAATTCAGAAGGGCATGATCAGAAACATAATACCTGAAGGTTTGCTCCAAGCAAATCCATGCTTCCCTTGCTTCTCAAATCCCAATTGCTAAGCTTTTTCATCAACATACAGGGCCTTGTTCTGCAGGTGAGAGAGTCTGAGGTACCGCAGGCCCAGCAGGGCTCACGAATTCCCAGGCGACCCCAGGCAGCTGATCCCAGGACAGACAGCACATTGAGTGGCAGAGCCACTGCACACTCTGATGCCCGCCTCCTTAATGTCCCCCTAGGACCTCTGCCACTTTACTACAATCGCTGGGCGGTTGATCTAACGAGTGGGAATATCACAGTAAATTTCCACTTTGAACATTTGCCCAAAGTTTTGTTTAAGTGGTGACTCAAATTGCAACATTGTGTGGCAAAGGACAGCAGCTATTTAGAAAAGCATCCTGTTTGATATAAGTACAGAAGATGTAGCTTGTTTGTGAAATCGCTTGTCGTACTTTTCAGCTTCACCACGGAGAATGCTTCCCAGGCATTCCCATCTCAAAAAGCTAAGTGGAGAGTTGTAATTTGAAAAATACGAGGAGGGATTTCTTGAAACAGAAAATTGAGTCATGTAAGCGCTGCCTTTCCTTCTCAGCTCACTATATATATATATATATATATATATATATATATATATATATACACACATACATATATACACAGAAGGAATGAGAAAGGGTACTTAAGGGCAAACCAAGACTACTCATTGAATAAGTAAATGAGACAGAATAAAAACTGAACAGAAGGGTGAGAATCAACAGTCAGGCGCACTTTGATGCCTAGGTACCCAGAAATTCCAGAGTCATGGGCACAGTCCTGGGAGAGATTGACTTCAAATGATGAATCTTCCAATATATAAAAATACTCGTAGCTGGCAAGAACATTCAAGTTAGTAATGGTGTTCAGTGGGCAATCCCCAGAGTCAACTGATTCTAAACTTTGCACTGAAGGGACTTTAAATACCTCCCCTATTCTCAAACCACACTCTCCACATTGATTAGGCCATGATATCTGAGAGGGGTTCTCGGGTTCCCTTAATGTTTCCTATAGGATTCCAACATGTAGCCAACTGGGCAATTGGGGCATTCAGTGTCTGTGCTCATAACAGGTCAGGATCCAACCAGACCAGTGACTCTGCACCCACTCACTCTGTAGACTAATACACTAATGTCAGCCTCATCTCTAGAAATTCCTCCTACTTTATGGCGCTTGGACCCCAGAATTTTGCTATATCCCCAGGTGTTTCTAATGTGTACATAGCCTGGTAGACGGCCACGGATCCAGGTGCTTCTGCCAAGATTCCTTCTACTGGTTCCATGTTAAAGATCTAGGGTATTCAAGGTGAGACTGCACCTGAGGAGTGTTTTTGTCCAGCAGATTCACTCATCTTTACTTGTAAAGCAGGGATTCCTAACTGTGGATCCCTTGAATCCTTCACAAACTATTGGCTGATTGTCTATGTGGCATTCATAGACATACATATTCAGAGAATATCTCTAGCTTTTGTCAGATGTTCAAAAGATTTAAGACAAGGGCTGGAGAAATGACTCGGCAGTTCAGAGCACTGTCTGCTCCTCCAGAGGTCCTGAGTTCAATTCCCAGCAACTACATGGTGGCTCACAACCATCTATAAGAGGATCTGATGCCCTCTTCTGGCATGCAGGCGCACATGCAGAGCATTCATATGTAAGATTTAAATCAGAATTTTTAAAAGAGTTAAAACTATTGTCTTAAAGGCAAGAACAACTTGATAGATTCAAGAGAATTAAAATGTAAATGGAATAAATTTGGTCTCCGTTACAATTAGGATTTAAGCATACCTATTGCCTGCCTCCTAGTAGTTGTATGCCCTTATTGCAGGCTTAGTTCAGAAATCTGGATAAAGAGACAGATGTGAAGATTCCAGATCCAAGTACCAAAGCAGAAATCGTGTGCCTGGGAGTGGGATGAGCACTAAACTAGCTGGTAATTCTCATAGGGAGATAACTTTACAACATATTGGTAAGGAGGCTGTTCCTTCAGATACTTTACATCCCTGTTCCTAGCTGGGGAAGGATAGAATGGTTTGTTGTTTTTTTCAATAATGACTTCTGTAAACAATTTGTCTTAGTTTGAATCCTGGTGTTCTCTTACTAACCATGTGACATTGGGAAATGTTGGTTAAATATATATATATATATATATATATATATATATATATATATTTCTCATATAAAGTGGGAGATAAATACCTCCAAGACAGCTAGAAAGAATAGATAATAGCATACCTATAAAAGTCTCTGAGTAATATTTAGACCAATAGCCCAATATATTACTGGTATTTGCAGGTTTGTTTTCTTATTCTTATACCTTATTGATCTTGTCCAAGTTACTGAGCTTGAATTTCATTCACTAACCCATTACACAAAGAATCTTGCCCAGTTTCCTTCACAGTGTTATCATGATGAAATAAAAAAAAGTCAAAGGCGCATTCAGCCCTCCACATCTACAGGTTATGCATGTAACTGCAGATCCAACCAGCCACACAGTTCAACCCAACAGGAGTCATCCAACCATGCATCAAAGCTATTACCCCAAACTGGACCTTACTGAATAGGTACACACTTTTTTCTCATCATTATTCCCTAAAGTCCATGGCATAGTAAGTCTCATAATGTTAGTGTCGTAGTAGATTTTCTCAGGAACCTGGAGATCATTTAACGTATACAGTAGGATGTGTGGTGGCCCTATGCCAGCACCAGACCATTCATGTATAAAGGGCTTGAGCATCTGTAGAAGTTGGCACCCTCAGGTGTCTCAGCTCCAGTTTCCACATATATAAAAAGACACTTCATCCTATATCCAGAGAACCTATATCTCACAGGAAAGGGTCACCCTAAAATGCAGATACCATTGCTGTCCTTAAAAAGGACTCTGGGATTCCAATAGCTGAGCAGTTTCTGTGTCAGAATGCAGCCTTTGTTCCTACACATCTGGCATCCTGGACAATGCCAAACCTTCCTGTCACATGGGTAAACGGGCAGCCATACTTCACCATGGCTGCTGCAAACTCTACTTCACATTAGAGAATCACACCAGTCACTAGAAAAATCACAGATGGGCCACCAGTCCTCATCTGTCCCAGACCTGATCTCTCTCATACCAAGCCTTCACAGGAAGACAGTCCCCAGATTCTTACAAAAGCCTGTCACGTCTATCAGGACATCCACCACTGCACAGCGCTCCATGACCAGCCCAGTCAAGGCAGAAACATCACTAGAACCTCAGAAAAGAATCAATAAAACTTCAAAGTGACCAATTCTCACTTACCTGGAGTCTGCTTAGCTGTGCGCACAGGGGTGTAGTGGTTTTTCGAGGTTGATCGGACCGGTGTGTTCTCTTTGGGAGAGGTATCGATGGCCGAGATGGTTTCTCTTTCACAGTGTGCTATGGGGATTGGTCCCTGTTGTCTTAGTATGTCAGCCAGAGCCCTAAATAAGGAGAGTACACAGTGAGCCTCGCTGATTGGGTGCACACAACCACAAAGACGCCAGCTTACTACCATAGGCATTCTGTTGAATGTTTGAAAACCTGTAGAAGGAGCCAGAGATAAAGTCTATGAGCACTCAAAAGATGGTTTCATTTGCCGCTGGTCTACAGGGGTAGAGGAGAGAGGTTGGCATGACCCAAAAATGCTGTGAGCATAGTATCTTTTCCTACAATTTATTCCACATCTGTAAACAATAAGCCCTTTCAAAACACTAGTTTTCCTGATACCCATATAGGCCACAACAGCATCCTCGGTATCTCAGAACGACCCGGGCTGCTGGTCCTCCAGTGAAAAGGAGATCACTTTCTGTCAGGGAGCCCAACCTTTCCGTCCCCAAATACATGCCATGTAGCATGTATTAGAAATTGGTGACTCACGGAAGTGTAGCCTACAGCTCCTGTTGCAAAGAAAAGCATGTCTTAGGTGCTAAAACAAAAAACATAGATCAAAAAAACCAGGATAAGCATCAGGACGCATGGATGGTGCAGACATGCAGTTTAGAGCAGGAGGTATGTGCGCATGGGTAGACACACAGCGAGACTGCCAGGGCAGACACTCGGTGACCAGAGCTCCGGCTTTATTGACACAGACCAAGCTTCAACTTCCAAACAGGCATGTAGTGGGGACTCGGCAGACAACAATCACGGCAGAGATGGGGTAGGGTGGGGTGCCTACTTCTGTCCTCCAGGAACTCACAAGTTAAGACAAGTCCCTCTGCCACCAGGTTTTAAACAGGAATCCCTCATTTATATGTGACATGAGATACCCACTGGCCCTGGGAAAAAAAGAGACACTTAGGACTGATGGAAGGGAACAGGAGGAGCATGTGGCAAGGCACAGCAGACCACTCCCGGTCAGTATCATTCCAGTTACTGGCAAAGCCCTATGCCTCCAATTTTGCATAAGTAGAGACCAAACTCTCCAGTCTTCTCGGGGTCTCCCTAAGGCACGTGCCTTCAAAGCCTCTCCCATCTGAGATCTCCCAGCCCTTCCCACGATTTCTTGTATCCCCATGTCCAGCCTCATCCTCATGAAAGTGACAGCCACGACACTTGATGGATATGTCTAAGGCGAGCTGTTTCTTTCCTCTGCGCTTCCTGCGACACAGTGACCCTGCCTTGAAGAGCATCAAGTTGGCAATCTTATCATTTAGCGGCACTTATACAGCAATTTCACATTTTCCAAATGCTTTCCCCTAGCTGGCTTTCCATTCTCTCAGCCTGTCAAGAAAGAGCAGACACGCAGACACTCTCCGCCTACCCCGTTCGCTCTGCTGAACTAGCAGCGAGGGCTAAGACAGAAGCCAAGAGCTCTACATAGAAACCCAGCAAGTTTAGGGTCCAGGCTAGGGAGCCATCATTCGGGGCCTGGGAAGAAGGGAGGCATTGCCTAGAAAGAAGGTCACAGGAGAGGTCCAACTCCCAAGTCTGCCACTCCTGAGCCATGAACCACCAGTGAATCTTAGTCTTTGACACAGAAATTTAACAATTTTTCCCCATCAGTGAAATATGGGATTTATACAAAGACAAACTTTAAGATCCTTCCTTATTCTAAAACTAAATTCTTTCACGTATCTTTTTCAACTGCACACCCATGTTTGGTATCTTCATTCCTTCACCCTTTTAATTCTTAAACACGCCTTCCTATCACCTCTCTGTGGTTAAAAAAGACTGAATTACAAATTATGATAGACATATAGGTCAAAGGAATATAATTGAAAATTCAAGCACAAACTCCTACATTTATACTTAAATCTTTTTCAACAAGAAAGACAAGTGTTAGGGCTGGAGAGCAGACTCAGCAGTTAAGGGAGCATGTTGCTCTTCCAGAGAAGTCAGCTTCGGTTTCTAGCACTCAGGTTGGGTGACTCACAACTATTTGTAACTCCAATTCCAAGGGATCCAATGTCCTCTTCTGGCCTCCTTGGGCACACATATGGTGCACATAAATTTGTGCAGGCATACCCTAATTAAAAAACACATCTTTTTTTTAAAAAAATTAAATAAATAAATAAAACTCCAAATGTCATTCAGTAGAAAAAGAACATTTTTCAAAAAAGTTGTCCTAGAGCAACTAGCTTTCCATGCTGGAATCTTAATCTCACATTACATACAAATACATACAAATCAATTCAAAGGGATCCTACACCTAAATGTGAATCCAAGCACTACATACTCTTAAAATACAAATGCAAATCATCGTGGTTTCTTAATTTGGTGATGATTTCTTACACGTGACACTGGAAATACAAGCAACACAGCAACAGGAGAATACGTGGAGATATTCAAAATATCGGTATCTCAGAGGAAACCATCACGGGAGCTGACAGAATCCACAGAATGGGAGAAATACTTGTGAGGCATATCTCATAAGAAGCTGTAGAGATGATTCAATAGTCAAGAGCACTTGCTGCTCTTGTAGAGGACCGGTGCTCAGTTCCCAGCACCCACACAGCGGCTCATGATCATCCATAAGCCCAGTTTCAGGAGATCCAACTGATGCCCTTCTGTCCTCTGCAGACACCAGACAGGCACAAGATTTACACGCATGCATTTGGAGAAAACACTCATACACATAAAATAAATTCCAAAAAAAAAAATCTACAGAAAGAACCTTGAAAGTTGACAATAAAACACTCCTTGGTTTTAAAATGGATGCAAGATTCAAACAGGCATTTCTCTAGAGTGATGGCACCACTGATTCTTAGGGAAACGGCCCATAAAAGTCACATTGTGGTGTCTATGCATACCTTTGCAGACAGCCATAACCGAACAGGCAATTAATGCCAATACCAATGAGGATACAACCGTGACTTCTTCACACTCCGGTGCTGGGGATATAAAAGCTCAGCTCCTTTGCTAAATGGTTTAACAGTTCCCCAAAATGCTAAGAACATAGCAAATGTGTGGCCCAGCCTACTCCTAGGAGAAATGAAAACAGACCTGCACAGCACTTGTGTATGAAGAAAGTTAATGGCATTATGAATAGTAACAGCCAAAGAGCAGGAGCAAGACACATGCTCATTGGTTCATGGCTGGATAAGCAAACTGTGTTGTGATCACACAACAGAATATTAATTGGTCATAAAAAGGAAAGAAGTACTGATAGACACCACAGCATGGAAGTACCTCAAAACACACCCCTAAGTGAAAGGAGACACCCTGAAGCCTAGATTTAAATAAAGAAGCAGGCTGGATACACCTATGAAGAAAGGGGGCTGCTATAGGTGTGGGCTTTCCTTTGGAAAATAATACAAAAAGTTTAAACAATGGGGCAGCTGCTGAAGACAGAACGTCTACAAACCACAATCTTGTACATTTGGAAATTTAAGGATGAATATTCCATTAGGTAAATTACATCTCATTAAAGCTAGTACTGAGGAAACGTCTCACTGATTTACTTCCCATATGCTTAGAGAGACTCCTGTCTACTTTTCCGATGGCCAGGGGGGAAGAATGGAGTCACGTGGTTAAACACATGATGAGCAGGACTGCCTCGACATGAGTGACTCTCAAGAGTCAAGTGACTGTGTTCCCACCTTTCTGTCCTGGGACAGCTGGCCATATCTGGAGACATTCTGGTTGTCCTGACAAGCAAGGTGAGAAGTGCTGCTGGTGTTTGCCCTGTGACACCCAGAGATGGGGCTCAATCTCTTGCAGTGGACAGGATGGCCAGCCCATCATGACAGTTACCAAGAGTTAACAGTGGTGAGGTTGGGGGGGGCCCTAAGAGAAATCTGCTCGGAACTGGGTGAACTAAGTGGCTAGTTCTATAAACATCCAATCAAGACTGAATGCCAGCAGGTCTGGGGATACAGAGAGGCTAAAGACTCTAAGGCGAGTGTCCTTTCTGTTAGAGTCTCCATAGCTCCTCAAGTCTTAGCACTTGCCTGGATGTGACGCACAGAAAGGAGTAAGGTAGCCTGTCCGATGCCACACTTTTGTCTACAGGGGAAATATAAGTGGGTTTTCCTGAGAGTTGTCCATCTCCCACAACTGTGGGGCCCCTAAAGTCCATCCCCCAAGAAGACCTGCTTAATGATCAGCTCCCTAAAGAGCAGTGGGCTCAGTGGATCTAATTGAGTGAGGTCTGACTAGCTGCTTGACAGTGAGTTAGAACTCTGGGCTACAGCTGACCTAGACCATGTGATTATACGAAACTACTCCAGAGTGATCGTCTGTGGCCCGATAGGCTAGGCTGATTGGAATCTCAGTCCAGTGGGAAAAATGGTGTTTTAGGTAGGGTTTCTATTGTTGTGAAGAGACACCATGACCACAGCAACTCTTGTAAAGAAAACATCTAACTGGGTGGTTTGCTCACAGTTTCAGAACTTCAATCCATTATCATCATAATGGGGAGCATGGCAGCATGCAGGCAGACATGGTAGCTGAGAGTCCTACATCTTGTAGGCAACAGAAAGTTGAATGAGACACTTGGAAGTATCCTGAGCATAAGAAACCTCAAAGCCTGCCCCACAGTGACACACTTCCTCTAAAAGGCCATACCCACTCCCTAATAGTGCCACTCCCTATGAGATTATGGGGGACAATCACATTTAAACTACCACAGGTGAATTGGCTAGAATATGTGTTTCCCAAAGTCCCTTTATAGACCTCCTGACCACATGCAATATCCACGAGGGAATGATGGCCAGGCGTAAGCTCCTGGTCCCTATCAGGTCCTTAACATTCTTCAGAATTCAGCCTTTTCCCCGATGGAGGAGATCTGAGCAGTGTGCCCTGTCAGCCCCTCGTCCTGTCCATTCCCTCTGCTCAGTGACCTCCCTCTTTGCTCTGGTTCTTCTCTACCTTCCATTCCTCGCTCTCCAGGGTGTTTGATAAATATTATTCTAATTCTGAAATGTGTGATCCTGGTCTCACCTAATTAATTTGGATATGCCAGAGGAAATGGGTTAAGGCCTGAGCTACTTTCTAACCACAG